CATTTAACATTTTGGGTACTACAGCTGAGAACAAATAAATCCAAAACTACAAGCTGATGGTATTGGTAGCATAACATGAAAGCCCTTTTAGAAATAACTGAGTTGACTTTATGGTCCACAAAGGACATTTTGATCTGCTATAACTGAAGTCTTTTACATAATAAAATATTTGTACCACTACAACATAGCCAGAAGTCCCAAATATTTGTTCTTTATCAGGAAATTAGTTTACAAGAGAAGAATTATTTTCTTTCTTTCTTTTTTTCAATGATGAACATTTCTAAAGAGTCGGTAAAAAGAAAAAAAATTCACAACATATCTTGGAGTGCTGTCCCCTTTCAAACAGAAAGGAAAACTGCACAGAAAACAGCACTGGTTGAAACCCTTAGGGTGTGAAGCCTTGCAGAATTTCATCTTGTTTTCCCTCATGGCCTGTGGGCTCTTGTATTTAGTTATTACCCAGAGGCCAAAATAGATAGATTCAGCAAATAAATCCCAAGCCTTACAGCTGTGAAGATAGAAGTGCCAGGAGGGAACATGCTCTGAGCTTGTGATGTGACACACTGCTGTGAGAGTGCTCCAGGATCCACGGGATAACTCATGGGAACAGGAAAACAGCACGCTCTAGTGGGGAAATTATTAAAGTCTATTAGAAAAATCTATTAAAAAACAAACCCCTGAACTGAATACTGCATGTGAGAGCAGCTGTTGCTCCCTGTCTCTATCCAGTGTTTCTTCTCCCATCACTGTGCATCTCCTGTCCCTTGTTGCCCCTGGTACCCCCTAGCCTGGGCAGGGGGACAGTCCTTCCAAGGTTGTCCCACCTACTGACACACAGCTTGGGCTGATTTAAGGATCCAAAATTGGGTCTTCTCCCTAGGCCTGGCTGAGTGCACTTGGCACAGGACACGTTTGCCTGTGCCAGTGTGGCAGGGCCAGTAAGAGGGGTGTGGGGGGACAGCTGGGTCAGACCTTGATGGCAAAGTGCCCCGTCAGCACAGTAATTAGCAAGCTCCTTCCCTCTTCCTTTCACAGTCACACAGTGGAAAACTCTCTCTCCATTAAGAAGGAGAACTCATTACTGGTGAAACAGACGCTAATCAGATATTAGTTGAAACCATTAATGAAAAAGCTAATGAGGTGCTGAGATCCCCAGTGCTGACTGAAATGAGTTAATCACATCTCACTGCTCAAAGGCCCATTAATCTGTGTGCATGCTGATGTTTCCCATTCCTTTGCTTATTATAGGAAATAAAAAACATCGCCCTGGCTTCATTTATGTGCATCTGCTGGATCTCTCTGCTAAGCTGTAAAGCCACATTACAAAACCTGCGACTGGTGACAAGCAGTGACATTCCCTTGGCCCACAGGAAGCCACCACAGAGAGGTGGAATGGCACTCACCTTCGAGGAAGGAAGGAAGCAAACACTGTGCCCACAGCCACATAAAAGTGATTTCTCATTGCCCCTGGCTGTTGGTTTAAAATGTTATTTCAGCCACTACAACTAACAAGAAGTGAAGAGCCACAAATGCCCCAGGTGCATTCCTCCTGAAGCAGCTTGTAGTTTTTTCAGCTAGTTTCCTGTCTTTATTGCTAGTGGTCAGTATTAATCTCACCTGATTCCAGTGGGATATCTCTGGGATGGATGAGTAATTAGAAGCATCCAGCAATTGAGGTAGTTAGGTGTAAATTTGACCTAGATTTCAAGTGTTGTTGGCAATACATGTTTGCAGACTTCCAGAGATCCCCTGGAATCTACAGGATTCATCAAGTATCTAGTTTATTTTAATCTGCCTGGAGTGGAGTTTTACTCCTAGCACCCACATAGTGCTGTGCTTTGGATTGGTGGCTGTGGGAACTGGCTGTGCGGGTGCTTGGCTACTGGCCAGGGTCAAATCACAATGTGTGTGCCCAAAAACATCACCAGCTTAATTCACTCCTGGCCCACCTACTTTGATGAACCAAAAAAATGGGTAAAACTACCTTTCTTCAAAATGTTCTCCAAAAGATCCATTTGCTTTATTTTTATGTATCCTGTCTTCACCTTTAAATCTGTTTATTTCTATTTCCTTACCTATTCAAGTCTAACCCTCAAATGATAGAGCCTGTCAGCTTGCAGTTTCTCCCTGCAGCCAATGCTTTGGTGTCCTTAGTGAAGTACCATCAGTCATCAATTTCTCCCCTGCCTCTTTCCTGTAACTCTACCACTGTGCAGGCAGGAGCTCTGTGCCTCATCAGCATCTTGGGGAACTTGCTCACACTTATCCACTCCCTGATACCTGCATCCTTCCCCATTTAAAGGAGAAAGAGGAGTTGAAATAGTGGTGGGACAAGGGGGAACAGTTTTAAATTGACAAGAGATTTAGATTAGATGTTATCAAGAAGTTATTTACTATGAGGGTGGTGAGACACTGGCACAGGTTGCCCTGAGAAGTTGTGGATGCTCCAACCCTGGAAGCCCTCAAGGCCAGGTTGGATGGGTCTCAGAGCACCTGGTCTAGTGGAAGGTGTTCCTGTCCATGGCAGCAGGGTTGGAACTGGATGATCTCGAAGGTCTCTTCCAACCCAACCATTCTATGTTCTTGAATACAGCTGTGAAAAAATTCCACTGCTTTTCTTTCTCCCCCACTTCCCTCTCAGATCTAGTGTTAAAGGCACAAAACCTATTTCTGGGCTAAACAGACAAATGGGGGTAGAATTCAGCACCATAAAGTCACCCCAGGCCATAATGATTCTATGATTGAAGCTATGAAATCACTATTTTCTACCATATGAAACCCACTGTTTTTTTTGCACAGGCTGAAGAGCAGATGTGGCTGTAAACAGGAAATTCTTCAAAGCACAGCTCAGGTATGGCCAGTCCATCCACACCCCCAGCCCCAGACTGTGGGAAATGTGCAGCTTCCCTGGATGGTGGCAGCTCTTTGGGGCCAGCCCCAGTAAAGCAAGGAGAGAAACACAAAAATGCACATGGGGAGACATGGCCATTAGGGGCTTCTTGATGTAACACTAGATTTGGGGCATCCTTGGGGGGACCCATGGTGCTGCAGCAGTGTTTGCAGTGATGCAGTGTTTGTGGAACACGTTAGGATGCTTTCCTTACTGATCTGGTGTCTGGGTGAACAGGAAGGCCAGCTGGTAGCTGCTGAGTCTCCAATTACATGGAAACAGTAACTATTGTGGAAAATGTCCTTAGAAGGAGTGTTAATGTCATGGGGACAGACACACTCACACATGGATATATTTATATTCTGCCAGCCAAAGGTTACTTTAGAAGCTGAAAACTAAGGAATAGACCAACATGGTACATTTCCTACAGGAGAAAATTTACCTGAAAACACAGAGATTTACCTCTGCATACAATACCTGACCATGAAGAACTTTTCACTGTCCCTATTTTATTTCATATTGTCTCAAGACAATAAATGTAAGGACATTAACTCCCTCAAATTCTATAGAAAAGACAAGGGAGAACAGATTTTTAAGGGTGGCAAGGGACTCCTTTGCCTTTTTATTCATTGGGTTTAATTGCTATTCTGACTGTGAGCCATCAAAGGAACCCATGCCATGGACTGAAGCCATACAGCTCCCCTATGGGTACTACTGTTCTTCATTTGATGGTATAAGCAAAGTTCTCTTTCCAAGTCCTGTGGTCGGTCCATCTGTCTGCATGTTGTTGTTGCTGCATGTCTTACTAGTTTCAAGTGGTTTCCAGATTGTAATTTTACGCAAATTACTTTCCTGACAAAATCATTTCAGACCTGGAAGCTGCATTGCATTGCACCTCTTGTGAGTGGACATGAAGCAAAATACAAAATGATTTCCAAGAAAGCTGTTCCTTGGTGTTATTTTGCTTTGCAGAGGAGCAAGTGCTTTGCATCTCCTCTGCACCTGAAGTGACTGGAATAGCTCCTCAGACTTGTGTGTCTCTACTTCCCACTCATTTTCAACAAGTGTGATTCTGGCTGGGCTGTATCCATTAATGGTGGTTAATATCTCACTGATGCAGCACATCTAGAGCCTGGGTTAAAAAGCAAAGTGTCAGGCAGACTCAGAGAACCTGATGCTCTGAGGGTCACACTAGACAGCAGTCTTACTGTGACCAACTTACCACTGCCTGTATCTGAACAGGAGCTTCCCAAGCTGACCTCTGATGAGCTCCTACCATCAGGATGGCTGCATTTCAAAGGGCAACTTGCATCACTGCCAGCCCATCTCAGTCCCTTAAACAGTGAAAAGGAAAGAACAGATAAGGAAAGTGAGCAGTTTATGGGGTCCATGAGAAGCAGCCAAGGTGGTGTTCCCACATGTAGAGCCATGGTCAAGCAGATGTGGGTGTGACCTGCTGAAGTGACAACTGATCAAAGGGATCCATCTCCTGGATGGGGTTCTCACAATGGACAGCTAAGCCAGCCATGACTGCAGTGCTTGTGTGACCACAGCAGGCCTGAAAACAGGGACCTGGGGTGGATCCTCTGATCTCAGCCAGGTCAGACAAGTTGAATCTTCTCTCAAGTCACTGTTTTCCGAGTCTGCGTTAATTTTCCTTATTTATCTCTTAAATAGAGCATAGATCCATCAGGAGACCACAAGCATATTAGGTTCAATTTCTTTTCTGCAGAAAGGCCTAGAGCTGCCATGTGAGCAGTGTGATGCCATGACCACAAGCAGCCTGAAACATGTCAAGGTCACCCAAGGGATCACAGAATCACAAAGGTTGGAAAAGACCTCTAAGATCATTGAGTCCGACTGGATGGGTGTGAAGAAATGGAATAAGCTTCATTACACTGTTATGTGACAGAAGAGGTTCTAGGAGCTAATGAAAATACTGTGGAAAAAGAAGTGTGCACAGAAACACTTTGATTTGATTACAATAAAAAGTTTATTTTGATTCATATCATACTGAAAAATTAAATAAATAAAATATCAACGAATGATTGTATGAGACTTCCCACCATTAGAGAAAAAAATCATAATAGATTGTGAAGTCAGAGAAAATTACAAAGAAAACCTGGTCATGGGAGGAAAAAAGTGCTCAAGAGATTTGGCTTTGGTAAAAAACATAACACACACTCAAGGAGTGCTTCAGAGATTTTGCAGTGGTGGCAAATACAGTCCAAGAGTTTGAAGGCTTAACATGTTGTTAAATGTTTTCCTTGGTTCTTTTAAACCAAAAAAACCCCAAAAAGTTTCTAGCAGGAAAACAGCCTTCAACAATGCCAGTGGAAATGAATTCTTCCCTCAGGATCATTTGTTGGTATCTCCTGATTCTGAAGGCAATTGAAAGAGCAGCAAAATTGTGGAGAAACCGAGAGAAGAATATAACACAATAGTTAGCTGCCTGAAGGACTCTAGAAAAAGTTCCCCTGGAATAGAAACATGATGACACAGACTATTCCTCATCCTACACCTGGAGAGATCCATTCTCTGCTCTCCTAACACTCTGAAAAATGGACATCAAAGTGGTACACAGTTACTGCTTGCTGTTGACAACAAAATTAAATGGGAATTGAAGCTTGTTCCATGATGAGGACACTAAATCTATCTGCATATATGAGCCACGAGGTTTTATATGTGCTGTCAGAGGCAGAATGTTCAGGGGAAATGGAAATTTTATTAGAACAGCAAAAGGAAGATTTCAGAACAACACAGGCTAGAATATAGCTGGCTTCTTTTTTTGATTCTAAATTGACCCATGATTAAAAACAAAAACAAAAGCAAAACATCAAGGGGATAAACCACCATGAGTTTTCTTCCAAATCTTTCTAAAAATGACTGAAAGAGCAGTCAATGTTTCTGAATTACTAATATTTGTCCATGAGGAAAAAAAGAAAAGTATTTGAAGCTCCAAAATCCAGCCACACTGTGAAGTTGTCACTGGCATCTCACACATAGTCTTTTACCTCTTAAACTTGCTTTGTTTGTATTACTGCAGCATCTCACAAGAGGCATATTGATTAACAGCAGTTTAAACAAGCAGGAATGCTTAAAGCAAACAAACATGGTTCAGGCAGTAATGCTTCATTCTTTTTCAAAGGACATGTAGAAGACAGTAAGCCCATCAAATCTGCTGTGCCTGTGACATGCAGGTGAGCTCTGCTGGCCACCGTGCTGGGAAATGGCTTCTTGACATGAGGATCGTGAACAGGTCTCATCATGAGGATTTGAAAATCCTGCCCTTTCCATGTTGCTGTCCTGAAGGGTCACACGAGCTGAGGGAGCTCAATGCCCACACAGACATTTGGCATCCTTGGCTCTCTATACCCCACAAATCCAGTGATGCTCATGTGAGTAAAGCAATTCATGTTGGTGCACGGTGCTGTGGCCCAAAATTCCAGCTGACCATGACACTGTGCCATGTACTGCTGCCTTGGAGGGCACCTCACTGGTACCAACTGCTGCAGAAAGACTAGGGGATAAATCTTGGATGGAGCACATCACTGTTGAAGGGCTTTCACTGACCTCAAATATTCATCTGCTTGGACATGCTGCCACAACCGGTGCATAGAAGAGAGGACATTTAGATGATGATTTCATTTGACATAAAAAAAAAAACTCCAACCAATGTGATACATTAAAAATTAAATATGCCATTTTTCCCCAGCCTAATCAGAAGTCCCTCGAAGTCTGTGGCAGGAACTCCCCTTGTTTCACCAAGGCTGAAAGTGGATCCATAATTCACGAGTCTTGTTTTGATGATATTGAGAAGAAAAGGCCACTGTTTTCCATTCTTCACTGCCTGAACTTGGATTTATACTTTATCTGTCCTTGAAGCTTTAATGCACTGATTCCATCAAAAATCTGTGGATATAAAACCTCCACTGTACCTCCCCTCCTCTCACTGCCTGGAGGTACTGACATCAAAATACACATTTCTCCAGAGATGTGCATGATTTTGAAGTCTGTCTCATGCTCTAAGATCAGCTTGTGCAGATTGTGTCTTTGTAGGTGCTGCTACACAACAAAAGATTCTTAGTGTATAACTGGTTAATATCCCAAACCATGATTTTTTTTTTCCATTTCAGATAGAGAGCTTGTGAAGAGATATCGCATTTTTAAACTTGTAAAAAAAAAAATTAAGAAGAAACTTTTCCTTGGGACTTTTGAATATGTTCCCATAAAAAAAGGTAAAAGCTACCTTTAAAAATTGTCTTGTTTGTGTTTGTTCAAGTACAATATAGGAGTTGTTATTATTGGTTTTGACTACAAAAGCATACCAGACAGAAGCTAAACTTTGGTTAATTTTTCCCCCTTTTAATAAAAAAAATGTTTAATTTAGGGTTTGTCATCTTGAAAAAAAAATCACATTTGTTGCACAATTATAAAAGGCACATATAAATGACTTGAGGAAAGTCCACTTTCCAATCTTAAATTGATTAAATAAAAAAATTTAAAAAAAATAACATTTCAGAGTATTTTCCACCAAAAAAAAACCCCACAAAAAAAACAAAGAAAAAAAAAGCACAAAACCCCCCAAAACTACATATAACCAAATGAAACAGACAAGTGGCTAAAAAGGCCATTTTTTTTTTCCTGGAGTTTTCAGTATTATTTTCTCCATCATTAGGACAGAGGAAGTGTAGGAAACAATGTTAAATAATACATGAGATGATTTTCTAGACACTATCAATGCAAAATGAGGCAATGGTTGAAATATTTACTCCTCCAGGCAACTTCATCATGTTTTTCCTTAATACAGCATGAAAATGGAAATAGTAAGAGAACAGAGAAGAGGTGGTTCAAAAAGATCAACAGCAGAAGTGAATTCATTTCTTTGAGGTAATCCTTACTATGATGTTCACAGCTGCCTTAGTGGATCTCAAGTCCCAGAAGTCATTTTCTCTCCTCTTCAAGGATCTCCTGCCTTGCTCGAGGAGAGAACAGATACACAGATACCAGTTCCTGTGCTCAGGCTTCCTCTAATTGCAACAGGCAGATCTTTCATCAGTAATTCAAGAATCGAGCTGTAGAGCCTAAGCAGAGATTAATTTATTCCCACAAGTGATTGGTAGCTCCTGGCTATCCATAGATAGGAAAATGTGTGCAGCTTGGAAGCCGGTCCTTGGCCTCGTTCTCTGCAGAGTGAGCTGCTCCAAATCCACCGCAGATCCACGCACTCAAACCTGGCTGGTGTCCAGATCATCTTCACTGAGCTCTGTTCTGCTGCATGCTGGAAATTGCAGCCCTCACTTGTCCCCGTGGCCAGGGTCATCTGCCCTTGAAAAATTTTATTTTTTCAATGGAGGCAAGAGTCAAAGTTATATTGAACTCGAAATCCCCGTCATGGACGCCTGTCTTCCGGAAAGCCCCACCTGAAGTGTTGTTTTCCCAGTAATGATGCCAGTGTCCTTTGCTGTCTGCTCCAAAGCCGTACACATTCACCTAGGATGGAAGGGAGAACCAGTGTTATGGACTGGAAAGCAATTGCTCCTCATCTGAAATGCTGAAGAAAATCTTTATTCTCAGTGTATGTACAGGCAGCAGCACCTGAGCTCCTCAGTGGCGTCCTGAGCTCTTCTGCTGCAGGACGTGACCACAGAGAAACAGCCCAGGGCCTACACAAGGCACGTGTGCTGAGACACCTCCAGACCTGAACTCAGAGGGAAAAGGAGATTTCCATCCATTAATTATTATTTAGCAATATTAAAATGCATTCCTATCCCTTAAGCATGACTGACCCCAGGAGATCTGTGGCTTGGGATGGGAATCTCCTCTGTAGCTGATTTAAGTCACAAAGAGTGAAAAAAAAATTTGGCCTGGTCCTGGTCTTCTAAATAATGACTCATGGTGACCACACTTATATGCTTGATTATATGATATTTTCAGTTACTTGAGAGACAGATGGATTTTATGTTCTTTGCATGTGTACCCACCTACAGCCTCTCCCCCTCCCAAAGTCTCGTTTGTCGATGGCTACACCTGTCTCCTCTGATGGTAACACTCCAAACGTCACCACTGATTTATTTAAGCTCAGAGTGGTGATATATCTGACTGTATTTGAATGGGCCATAGCCCCAAACCAGCTCCCTAAACCAACCACACCCAGGGCCATTCAAATATGAGCTATTTTTAAGTTCTTTCTGGTAATGTCAGAGGCCTGTTCATTGCCTGCTTACCAGAAAACAGGCTCCATCCAACCTGCTGTGACTATGATAAGAATTTCTTCCAGTATCTTTAGGAGTATTTCCATCACCTCTCCAAGCAAAACAGGCTGGGGTGCCCAACACTCTCATCAGCAGACGTGACCAGGACAGGGATTTTGCCAGCAAAGTGATTTTTTTTCCCCCCATGCTGCCAAGCCCATGATTGCAGGATTTTGTAGAGCTGACCTTGTTCTAAGCAGCTGAGTCTCCAGTCACCTTGGAGCACCTCACATCACTCAAACCAGAGAATTTCCCCAAGTAACTGCTGGAGCAAAGGCATTTACTATAACCTACAGTATAAACCCACAAGCCTGAGTTTGAAAATATGAGACAAAACATAATTCAAATTTTCACTAGCAAGATGGGCACAGATACCATTCATGTCTAGACATCTTTTGATACCAGCTGCAACCTCTGTTTATGTTTAATTATATTCTCCTGGAGTGCATTGTAAACCCTGCAATTTGCTGACATTAAAAAAATCCATCACTGTCGCTTGAGCATGTCTGCATGTTTCTGAGAAGTCTGCATATGTTTGAAGAGGTAAATAGCAGAGAAGGTGGAGAGGGGGAAACAAAGGCTGAGTGAGTGGCCAGAGGTTGTTCCTGGCTCTTCAGTGTGAAATGTCCTGATTTTTTATCCATATATCCAAAACCAGATGGACTTTACCTCATCGCATACATGGAGAGCAAACATCAAAGACAGAAGGCCTGTGGAGGGGTATCTCCCATGATGCTCCAGCCAGTTTTCATAGATGTATTTCATAAAAGCTGGATTATAAACCAGGATCTAGGCAAAATTGGAGAGACTCATTAGTAAAATACCCTGGGGAAAAAAACAATGATAGCACACAATTCCTAAAGGACACTGGGTAAGAAAGGAATAATAGTTACTCCTTGAAGGCAGGTGAAAGGCAAAAATAAGTCACATATTAAGTGCATTCAGGAATATTTCCCATGTGCAATCACATATCAGTAGCCCTTCCTTGGTCTTGATATCCCTCCTGCTTCCAGTAATGTAAATCCTGGAGATTCCTACTGAAACCAATTGGTATGAAACAACACAAGTGAGATGGAACTTTGGCATTAGCCATTCAACTCTCCCTGCAGCACCCTGCAGGTGAGCTCTGGGGAGGTGGAATCCTGAACAAGGCAAGCATGAGATGCCATGATATGTTTCACAGAGCCACAGATTAATTTAGGTTGGAAAAGACCCCTAAGATCACCAGTTCAGCTGTAATTTGACTAGAAACATAGGAGCAGCTGCCTCTTCTGCACAATGTGCCAGCCATGTTTTGGTACCTCAATAGGTACAGATCTAAGGAAACCAAGGGCCAAATTTAAACTATCAGGGAGCCTATCAGGTCGTGAATGCTTCTTTTATCCTGTTTTTCAAACACGAAATTTTTCTATTCTGTGTATTTTTTTCTAACAAGACACAGAATGCATTTTTTTATCTCACAGAGGTTAAATCACAGAGACAGAGCACTTAAGATAAGACCTGAGAGTACAGTAAATCCAAGGACTGGTAGGAGCCCTTGGTTTCAACCCCTTCCCCTGAAAGAGGCTTTTCCCTCCATGCAGCATTTGCAATTAGAGTGACAGCACTTCAGTGCTATCTGGTTAGCTGCAAGGCTCTTCCTTTTACAAAGTCAGAGGTTAATTGCTGATATTGCATCTGTGTGTAATCTCTTCTCACAGGGTGTTTTGCATTGCAGTGTGGGAAGAAACACAGGCTTCTCCTCTCATGCTCAGGAAGCTGCTGCATATCACCATGCCCTGGGCTGCTGCCACTCAGCTGTGATGTGAGTTTAACAACCTGCCCTGGTGCTTCTCACAGGGCTTTTGCAGAGGTTATCATGTACCTCACAACAGGTAAGGATGAGCTAAGGGATGATTTAATGCACCCTAGAGGTCCATGGTTTCAAACAAAGGAAAATAAACTGATATTAGTTCAGGCTCTCACCTCACTTTGGCAAAATCTGACCTCCTGAATGAAAGGTATGTGCTTCAATTTGTAATTTTAATGTTCTGGAGCTAATGTCATGCTTTAACAGCCCTTGAGGGACTAGACACCCATACTTCTTTGGAAAATCAGTCTCTCCAAAGGCTGAGAGAATGAGACCTTTATTTTTTCTGGAAGCTCCACAGAATAGGTTCTTCCTCTCCCACACAGCCTGCCTTGGTTATATCCTCAAACCATGCAGCTACAACACCAGAAGTCTTTGCACAGTGGCTAAGGTTCCTACATGGGAATTAACATCCTGCCCCATGGCAAATCCTGCCTCCAGCCTGTCCCTGTCTGTGCTCTCATGCAAACTGTGCTTGAACATTGCCTGTGAGACCTGTAATACACCTGGAGCAAAACCTTCCTGGACTTGGCTTCAGCTCAGCCTCCAGGCTTGTTTAATTGGCTACAGGTAATTACTGCAGCTGTGGGCTAAGAGCCCAACACCAGGAATTCTCCACTGACTTGGGAACACACAGCTTTATTTGTTCAGAGTTCATTTAGCTCCTTATTACAAAGAACTGACCTGGGAGTGAGAAACATCCTTGGTGTTCAAATATTAAAATTGTTTAAGAAAACCTCTGAAGTCTCTCCTCAGCATCATTACATACAAATGACTGCAAGGGGTAAGAACAGAGCAGTTTCTGTGGAGGACAATGCTGCACTTTTAATGTCCCTGAGCAGCACCAGAGGAAGTGATGCAACCTTCAGAACAGTGTCCATGCAATGGCATAGCCACAAGAGCAACTTCTTTCCAACCACAGATATTTAGTGGTTGATCTATGGCCTAAATGGCACACAGGAGCCAAATCTTTAGCTTAGCTGAGCCTTATAAAGTGTCTGTATTTTGGCTCCAACTTTTTATGAATGTCAAGGGCTTGCTTGGATTTTTGCAGTTTACCAAAGAGGCAAAAGACCTACAAATAAATTAGCAGAACAAATCCACCAACCAGCCAGCATTGCTCACCTTTTCTTTTTTGACTTTGATTTTCCTTGGAACTGGAACATATGTGCTGTTAAAGAAAAAAAAAAAAAAAAGAGAGAGCACCATGAGAAATAAAAGCCCAATGTATTAATCTTTTAGTGTAATTCCAAAGAAAAAATATTATTCAAGTAAAGTAATAAATTCCAATTATTAGACAGTAGTAAACTCAAGAAGTTGTTGTAAAATGAGGCTGCAATTAAGTAACACAGCAGGAAAAGAAGTAAGTTGTCACTGCAGCAATTTTATAGGAAACTATTACGTTCTTAAATATTCAAGTTAATTATTGACAGTAGGACACCAAAGATTGAGTTGAGAATACACTGTAGAGTCAATACTATGTGGAGATCGAGACTTCTAATTCTTGGATCATTATTGCTGCAGTCTAGGCTCTTTGATGATGGGAAAGACTTTCCGTTTAATTTCATGGCAGAAAAACCTTCTCCCACCAGGGGGAGACTTTTCCTCTCCTAACACTCGGAGCTACCACAGGCTTTTCAGAGTCGGTGGCAGCAGAGCTCACCAGTTCTCTGGTTATATGAAACTCGGGTATTCCCAGTACACAGCCCCTCACAGAAAGCTATTTCTCTCCTCCCCAGGGTGATGCTGAAGGCCAGCATAAAATTTCCAAGTTACACCTTATGACTGGGTTGAAATCACGAGTCATATCTTGAAAATGAAAGAAACTTTTATTCCCTGTATCTCATGCTCAGTGTGTGCTGGCATTGCACTCATCACGAGTGCTGTAAGGAAAAAAAATCATCCTGAGTTTGTTTCAAGTGAAAGAATTTGGGTGAGCTGGGAATTGGAATATATCCCAAAACATATCCTGCACACTTTTTAGATGGGTTGTGGTAAATCACCAAAGCCTTCCATTAGTTCAGTATGAATGTTTTAGCTTGGGTTTTGGTGACAAGGTTCCTGTCATTAAGGTTTTATTTTCTTTGAACCACAGAACATCATCACTTTTAAAACTTAGTCTAAATCTTCCCAAACCAGTGGTGACCTGGCAAAGTTCTCCTGACCTGCAGTCCGTGCTCTGGGCTGGAGGCAATGGGAGAGGTGATGGGTGGTTCCAACACTCCTAAGAGGTGATGCTGCTGGGGAAAGGGACACTGATGCAGACTTCTCAACCTGGTCTCAGTAAACATGCCCTTGCAGCTGCAGCCCATGCCTGACCTTGATCAGCAAATCAGTAAACACAGTCTTGGTGATCCCATGCCCTTTTTGTGCTCATAAAGTCTAAAAGGGCTTCTTTGCTGGTAGAATCTCCTTAATATCATATAAATAAACAGTTAATCTTTTCTAAAAAGGTGATGTGGAAGGAACAAGAGAGCTGTGTTTCATGGATAGATACAGCAGAAGACCAAAGAAACGAATATGCAGTGTTCATGACAGTACTTGTGGACATCTCTGATCTAACCAGGAAATACATCAGTCAAATGGGACTGAGAATGTCTGAGAGAATCACTCAGCTATTAATTGAAGCTAATATTAAGGCAATCTGAAATTTGACTTCTGTTTTGAATCCTAAAAATGGCAAGAATTATGATAATACTAAGAGAAGAATATGTTTAACTCACAGGTTTTCAGTTTTAGGAAATTTACAGAAAATTAAACACTGTGTGGAAGTCTAACCAATACAGGATGCTTATCTTTTTTTATCTATGAGTACACTTGGGATTTTGTTAGCCTAAACTCAGCTGACACTATGCAGCCTGTGCACATGGAACAATGCCAAAGCAGACCAGGGTAAGGAGATAAGTACTTCTTCCTTTATAAAATACTGACTTTCAAATGTTTTTTATTTTTATTTCATGCTTTCTCGCCTTTAAAAATGTGCACTCAACAATTTCCTTATACCCATTATCTGACACTGTGTGTTTAATGTGTGCTCATAGGTTAATTCTACAAGGCTAAAATTACGCAATGTGCATTGCTATGATTTGTATGCTTATGATTTTCTGCTTATATTATTCCAGCTTATTAATTACACAATTTCCCTGTTTTGAGAATGGCAAATCTTAAAATAGTGGTATTTCTTTCATGTGGTTAAATACTCACTAATTTATACCAGATGCTTACCAAGCCCCTGTATACAATCCAACTATAAATATATAATAAATCCTGCAATTTATTAAGCAAAGGTGTTTTCCTTTTCACTTGCTGTGACCACATTGTGGTCAACCAGTTATGCCTTCTTCATAGGCTAAGAGCTCACTTGAAATCAGAGCAGGGCTCAGGGGAGTACCAAGAGCTTTCCCCCAGGGCAGGGACAGGCAGTGCACCTGCCTGCAAAACCTGTGTCCATGTAAATTATAGAACAATAGAACCATTTAGGTTGGAAAGACCTCTAAGATCATTGAGTCCAACAGTTAACCCACCACTGCCAAGTCATCACCAAACCATGTCCCTAAGTGCCACGCCTATATGTTTCTTAAATTCCTTCAGGGATGGTGACACCACCACTCCCATGGACAGCCTGCTGCAGTGCTGGACAACTCTTTTGGCAAAGAAATTGTTTTTGATATTCAATCTAAACCTCCCTGGTGAAACTTGAGGCATATCCTCTTTTCCTTGTTACTTGAGAAAAGAGGAGAACCCTCACCTGGCTACAGCCTCCTGTCAGGGAGCTGTAGAGACTGGTAAGGTCCCCCCTGAGCCTCCTTTTCTCCAGGATGAATGCCCCCAGCTCCCACTCATCAGATTTGTGCTGCAGACCCTTCTCTGGACAGGCTTCAGCCCCTCAGTGATGTTCTTGTAGTGAGTGGTACACTTTTTTAAGTGTACTGATTTTCCCAAGTTATGAGTGTGTCTTGAAAGTGGGTTTTTTTCAAGCCAGTTTATGACTGTATATATTAAATGCTGGTGATAAAAAAGGTTTAAGAAAGCTAACACAGATTTGTTACAAGTTAAGGGAATCTTAATAAGAAATAAAAAGAATCTAACATGTATCTACAAAGAAGGAAAAGAAAATGAAGAGAAAAAATAAAACTTTGTTTGTTTTTCCATGAAAGAGTTTTACTTAAAATTGCAAAGTGGGTCTTATGTCCAGTCAACATGCCCAAGACACACTTTTACAAGTTTAAATTTTCTGAGACTTTGAAATTGGGAAAAAAGTTGAAATGTCTTGAAATATTTCTCCCTGGAGTAAAGCAATCCGATCTGCTCTTGCTGCCTATGTGTAGCAGAGTGTCACCAAGCGATCCCACACGGCTGTGGTTCCACATCCAGCAGATAACCTTGCACACAGTACAAATGTCACGTATTTCATTCTCTGGATTAGGAAAAGCCAGCTTACAGGAAGGAAGAGAATCTGCTAGCAGGCTTCCAGAAGAAACATGCATTTTGATCACATTTCTAATTCTGGTGCTGCCATAAATATATCTAGCAGGAGACAACCTTTACTTCTGACAGCATTCAAAAAAGAACTGGAGAATAAATTCCAGTGTGTCACATTATTGCCAAGTAGAAGTCTTGAATTTTAGGCTAAGTCATGGAGGTGACACATAAAACATTGTTTCTTCTGAACAGTTCTCAGTCATGTTCCACCAGGAAAGACAGACCAAGCTCCTGACCAACCTGTCCAGGGGAGCTCATCCTCAAGTGCTGCAGTCTGCATCTGCTCTTTGGGGAGCAACCCGCACACTCCTCATCCTCTTCTGCAACTGTACTGACTCCCAAGAAACCAGAGAGGAGGAGGGATGAGCAGAAGCCCAAAATGAGGCAGTGAACTCCAAAGCTTATGAGCCTTTTGATCAAACTGGTCATCTCCACCAGCAAAACCTCCCCTTTTCATTTCTCTGAGACCACAGGGATGTAAGAGACTGGATCTTGATCTTTGCCTCAACAACTGCAATATAACATTAAGCTTTTCCTAGAAATCAAGTGTTTAGGGCTGAACTCTGACTTGAGTGGGTCTGCAAAGCACCCTAGGCCTTATGAGAAGCAGGGACTTGCCCCACACAGGCAAACATCTCCTACAGCAACGTGAAGTACAGAGCTCCCACCCCTTGTGCCTGCCCTTACTCACAAGTTGATGGTGCCTGTGGTGAGAGCGGTGACAACCCAGCGCAGGTCCAGGGTTTTGAAGGGGATCAGGATCATGCTCACATTTGCTGCCAGCTCTTTGTAGCTCTCAGGATAAACAAAGTGGTGAGTGGTCTTGCTCCCAACATCTGATTCGTAGCCGGCAGTGGGGGCACGATTCATTCTGCAGCCCAAAAATAAGAATTGAGATAGAAGAGGAATTAGGTAAGTACAAGTACTTTGGTGAATTTTCACCAAGTCATTTGCTTGAGGTGCAGGTGGCTAAGGGGAGTGCTATATGCAGGGACTTCAGACAGCCCTGACAGATGTAAGGGTCCTCAGGCAAGCTGGAATGATCATAACCCATATGATAGAACAGTAAATGAAAGCTCAGCCTTAGTGTGGAATTCCTTGGACTGAACAGGAGTGTCTACCAGGCAGGTGTATCTCTGAGCACATCCCTGCATTCCCTTTACAGTCATTAAAAGAGTGGTGAGCCCATGAGGACACATCTCACTTCATCCTAAAGCTGCATCCTCCAGCTGGTGAGAAAAACATTGCCCTGAAGTACATCAGCTTGACTTCTTGCAGCTCCATTTCCCCCTTATCCATACAGGTGTATTTGAATGTCTTGGGTCAAGGTAATAAACCATGCTGTGTTTGATGAGAAGCAGCAAATAATCCTTATGGTTCTCCCACAAAAAGGCACCAAATCAGTGCCAAATAGACACAAATACAGGACCTGCTGCTGACCCTTCATTTACTCAAACCTTACTTTTACTTTGTAGGATGTACTCCACAGATACTCAGGGTCACTCTGCACACACATGGGGTGCTTTAGGTAACCCTGGGGTCAGTCCATGGAGATCTGCCCAGGGCCTCCAGGGCTCAGTTAAGATGTGTTGGCTAAAAAGGGCTGCCCTACCTTATGTTGGATGTATCACAGATTGACAGAATCAAAGGATATTCTCAGTTGGAAGGGATCCACAAGGATCATTGAGTCCAACTCTTAAATGAGTGGCCCATATAGGGAACAGAGAGGGATTTCTGAACTCAGGACTGCAGAAATGCCTCTGTGCCTGTGTTCACTTCTGAAAGCCAATCTGGGAACACATCAGCAATTCTCTCCCTGCTGCTTTAGCTCCTCAGTGGCAGAGATTTGCATATTTCTGTGGTGTAGCACATTGTACATTAGAGATCCCTGAAGCAACTTGCATGACTCCATGGTGCTGTGTAAAACCATGGAGAAATCCCTCAGTTGTCTCTGAGCAAAATGTTTTTTTTCCTGCAATAACATTAGATCAGCTCCTGGCAGAAGCACAGGGAGGACAAGGAAGGATGTAGCTGAGGAGGTAATGAGGAGCATCATACATTGCCAGACAACATGCTGCCCTGGTTAATGATAACAGGAGATGCAAAATCTGTTTATCAAGTCTATGCCAGGCTGTGTTATTGCAGTTCTCCCCCAGGTGAATTACTTAAGTTTCTTTTAACTCCCTTCAAGGGAGTTATTAGTGTAGTTAGAATATCCTGCCAGCCTTGTGGATTTGTTATTGAGTTTTCTGTTACTGGCTTCCCTGCCAGTGACCCACAGCATACCATGTAGAAATACTGGAAAAGCACAGGACTTTCTGTGTTTTACCTTGAGATTAGTCAGTAGTCAAAGGTATAAAATATAGGTGTTTCTTTCCATCAAGACAAAAACAAGGGTGACATGTTGGTCATCTTACAATCTGCCCTTGGGTCTCTGTGCCTTTCCTGCCACCCATGGTGGGGCTGTCGGTGCCAGATGGCAGAAGGCAGTGTTCACACCCAGTCTCAGCAGGAAGGACCAAGCAGGAACTTCCTTCTGTCATGGAAGGAGCTAGTTATACAAATAAAAGTGGGCTGGAACATGCTGTTTGGAAGGAAAGGTGCCCCCTCAGACACCTTGGCTCTCCGCAGCACTTGGCTGTATTGCCAGAGGATGTGGAAGTGAATTTCAGGTCACCAGAGATTTTGGGTTTGATGCACAGAGGTGTCACCTTCCCTGCACAAATTCCTATGGTGAATCCTAAAACCTTGTGCAATTGTTTCAGATCTGGCTTAAGATGGCTGAAATATAAATCTGAGACTGCAAGGTTCACTAAGTCACCAAGAGTTTTGTCCTTGTCAGGGATGGCTGGCTATGGGATGGGCAAGGCCTTGGAGCAGTAACATGCACCTTAGCTATTACTACCAGCTTTTGAGTCTGGCAAAGTCTTTTCTGCACAACTCTGGAAATGTAGGACAGGCAATATAAGAAAGTCCACACAGGAATGGGGCTGTCTCCATATGGGAGGACTCAGAGTTAAACATAAATGCACCACAGCATCCCACATTTGCAGCTGCCCCACATTTACAACCTGTAGGAATAATGTTGAGGGCTCTTCCTTTCCCTTCATGGATCTGAAGGACAGCTTGGTGCCTCTGCCTTTGGGGAGGTACTTTTGGCAGGGAGCAACTCCTGATATGATTTGTGACGATTTAGATGCCATCTGAAGACTCTATGCCATGTTCAAGCCACATCAGACGCCAAGGTGGCTTAACAATTCAAACAGTGTTGATCCTCTGTTGATTTATTCTTGACTTCAGAGCACAGTTTCCTTCTAAGGCTTTTGTTGCTTCTGAGAGAATAATCCCACATGTGGCATTTCAAGAGCAATCCCTCCCTTCCTGCTCCTTATTGCTTTCCAAATTGTGCTGTGCTGGCAGCTGTGGTGTGAAAGGCAGATGACACACTAAACTTAGTCCAGATATTTTGGCTGCCCTCTGCATGATAAGCCCTGCTTGCCTAGTTCAGAGGAACAAAGTGGCCAACCTTGTTGCCTGAAAAGGGAAAGGCAATGCCATCCTTTACAAATTCCCTGCAGCCAAATAGGTGACTCTGGTCCACTGAAAGGCGTCTTTGGTTCCCCCACCTCACCACTGTTTAAGAGTGAGCTGGTGCAAGAAAGCCAAATCTAACACAGTCAGTTAAATGCCTAAAAGATCGCTCATGAGCACTGGCTGCAGAAATAACTTTTACTCCTAAGTGCAAATCTTTTTTCGCCTACATTTTTTAACACAGGCAGTTACAGATTGTGCAGAACAAGCTACGGTATCAATACCTATTAATGTTTCTTTGTCCAAGCTAAAACATGAGGTCCTAGCTCCAACACTCATAATTTAATGCCCCTGAAACTTAGGCTTGAGTTAAGTACCAGGTTTCACTAGACAGACCCTGAAACCTTGTTTACTCACTTGTACCTCCCCAAATACCAATTTAGAGTGTGAATTTTAGACAAGAAAGGCATCTGTGGCTGAGGTGGTCTCCACTCACCTGAGCACAAAGTCATGGGAGTCGATATCCTGGCCGTACTGAGACTGCCGGAGGTTCCCGGAGTTGCCCACGACGGCGCAGCGCCTGCAGGTGTAGGAGCCCCGCTCCTGCAGCGGATCCCTGTCCCCAGGGATGAGCCCAAACAGCTCTGTGAGAGTGGCATTCAAACTCTTCGGAGCTTTCTCTCCTTGCAGTTTCTGTCAGGGAGAAAAATCGCTCCAGGTTACCGACACAGGCAGCTTTTCTGTGAGCTAGAGATGGCTTGAAATGTCTCCTCCAAGAGCATTCCTCCATCTACCCACAGATGCTGCCTTCTGCAGCACAAGGCTTCAGGTTGGGAGCCGAAGTGTGAAAAAAATCAAGTGGAAAACCCTTTAACTTTTTAAACTTGGCTTCCTTTTTCTCCTTCTCATCAGATTGTCACACTTCCTCAAGTCTCTATCTAGACATGATAGAACAGATCAAGCATCTTCCCCAAGGCTGGCCTTAGGAGAATAAATGTTCCTCTGGTGTTCTATAAGCCTAAACCCACTCTGGGTCAAGTATCTTCTGTTAGGATATGTGTAAGATTTCTTTTAACTCTCCTACAAATGACGGAAAAGTCTCAGGGGAGCTGATTGAAGACAAACGTGGCTGATATCCCTGCCACAAATTTTGGCATATGCCAGGTGTGGGAGAGGGAAATGAGAAGTGAACTGTGGAGGAACCAGCTGCTCATGCAATAAGAAACTCTAGTAGAGTTAGCCCTGAGGGCTGGAGATGTATAATCACCTAAAAAAAATCTCCAGGATGAAGAAAACCACCCGGACCTTGGTCATTGTGTCTGTTGCCATGGAGGGAAACTCTGTTGTGTTGCAGCTCTGTGGTGCATGGTGGAAACAATGGCTGGATTGGGAAGGTACAGGCACGGTGCAGGGCAGGTGATGGTCACACACTCCCGTTCTGGGGCTCAGCTCTCAGACATTTTCTGCAGAGGTTGGGAGTACTGGCACGCTCACAAACAGCACTGCCCACCCTCGTGGTGCCACTTGCTTCCAAGCTCACAAAAGGAGAATGGCTCCAGCACAAAATAGTCCGAAAAGGCTCTGTCTTGCTCTGCCAGCCCCAGGGCATGGAAAGACAGGGAGGGACAGAAGAGAAACACCTTTTCCCACGACTCCCAGGAATGGCCTGGGCTAATTTGGCTTTAGTTTCTAATGTGTTTCCCTTGACTGCACCAGGAACTGATAATTTGTCCTGCTATCTCCCTCTCTCACACAAACACAAACAGGTGCAGCACTGTAATTTTTTGTTTAAATTCTGTGCTTTTTGCAGGACCTTATTTGCACTGAAATGAACAACAGGTCTCTCGAGCTCAGAGCTAGAAGATGACATTGAGAAATTGAAACAAAGTAGACAAAGAAATCATATACATATACATATGCAGACTTAAGCACATACAGACTTAATCATCCCACTAATCCTTTCTAATCTATATACTTGTATATGGACTGCACAAGGTGATTAGGATGCAAGGTAATTAGGATGACCAGACAAGCACTGTAATTGTGGCCATGTGTGTCACTATTCAGTGCAAGGCTCAATTATATAAGAAAAAGGTAATCTTCTGAATCTGTGTGTGATGCAACAACAAACACATGGCTACATATCTGAACTCTTGTGTGTTCTTTATTAATCAAATCTAACATCATCTTGCTCTGAATATGAGAAAAACAATGTTAGAAAACCTGCAGCTTTCAAAACAATTAGAGATTTCACAGATGTCACAGAGTGCAGTACAGGTGCATAATGTAGTAAAATACAGTATTTTCTGAAAAAGGAACTTATTTTGAGTTATTTGAACAAACATTTGCATTCATCCATACATACTCTCTGTCTCTGTAAAGATGGGCTGATTCTTAACTGTCTTTCAGAAATGAAAAGGAAACCCATCAAAATCTCACCCTTGAACTGATTTTCCCTGAGAAAATTCAGAACAGGAAGGCAATTTTCAGAAAAGTCCAAGTACCTGGGTGCCCCTTTTAAGTTAAATTTTCTTTTCATTCAGATTGACAGGACCAGAAAAGGGAAAGACCTGGATTATTGATGCATTTTTGCTGTATTAAAATAGTAAGAAACATCCTGGACAGGCTCCTCCATTTACAGATCTCAGGCATTCACCATTCTTTTATGCTTCTGTCTAGAGTAAGTCTACTGCAACCAAGCTGAAACATGGGAACTAACATCAACCTGAAAGCACGACACCACTGTCCTACAATCCTTCTGTTGTACACAACTTCCATAGGAAAGACCATTACTAATGTTAGAGATTCTCTCAGTGCCCTCTAATAGGGTGATGATCTTATTGCATTGTGTGTTGAACACCCATACAATGACACATCTGTCCTTAACTCATTTAAAGTGCTCTGTTCTGATTTCTCAGGGATTATCTGATTGAACTATAAATTTCAGGACTAATCTATCAACACTGGTTAGTCTTTGACGTTTCAGCAAAACAGAGAAGAGGAAGCAACAAAGCTGGTTAACTCCAAGGCATATTCAGCTTGTAAATATTCAGACTTAGCATGCACAATTCCTTATACAGTTCCTTATTGCACAATATTTGCTTGGCTTATTGAAAAAACCCATTTTAATAGCATTACAATTACAAGACGATTATAGTTCACTTTCCCACACCAAACTTTTGTCTTTTTTTTTTTTTTTTTTAGTTTTTTGTTTTCTTTTCTTTTTTCTTTTTTTTTTTTTTCCTTTCCTCCTTATCAAGCTCTCTCCAGTCTGGCCTTTCCCATAAATCAACAAAAGCACAGAGTGAAAGTCTGTGAGTGAGAGCCTGGGGCTCTGCTAGGACAGCAGCATCCTCCCTCCAAATGCTGTAGATGTGTCACAGGGATATGTGTATGGATATAACTGCTAAGAGCAGCCTTAACTACACTGAAATACTTGACCCCTATGTCCTGAGTGAAGTGGCTGCTTTTCTCAGAAGTCTGTGCAAGTAATACGTGTATCTAAAGAAGCAGTTCATGTTTTTGTCCAAGATCATAAAGCATCTTAACCCATCTTGTGTCCACATAGAAAATATCACTGGATTACTAAACAGTCCAGCTTCCCTCCATAAAATATTTGTGAGTCACTTGAGAGTCAACACTCCACCTCAGATTGTTAAAAACTATATTTGGGAGTTCAGACTGAGAAGTTTCCTAAATCATCTCCCAGCCTTAGAAACTCCCCATTTCACATACAGAAGTAAGCTAGCAAGAAAACAAAGAAGGCAAGAAAAAAGAACCCTCAAAGTTCATGCACTCCCTTTCTTTACCCATGAATGGCTCTCCAAGGAAGAGCCTGTTGTTCCCTCCTCATCACTGTGCACGCTCCCACTAAGGAGGACAAGGGATTTGCTGCTTTTTTAAACTTCTCAGTTTAAAGTTTTACTGGGTTCTCCAACACAATCACATTGACAGCACTACCAAGCAGAAATACCCAAAACTTGGCTAAGGGGTTGCAAAGGGAGATTGTGAATTCAGCCAAGGCTGCTCAGAGCTAATGGCTTGGAGTGGTGAGGACACAGCTACAGTCAGGCAATCACAAAATGGTTTGGGTTGGAAGAGGCCTTAAAGGTCATCTCATTCCAATACCCCTGCCATGGGCAGGCACAGGTCCCATTAGACCTGGTTGCTCCAAGCCCCATCCAACCTTGCCTTGAAAACTACCAGGAATGGGGCATCCACTTCTCTGGGCAACCTGTGCCAGTGCCTCACCACACTCAAAGGAAAGAATTTCTTCTTAATAACTGATCTTAACCTGCCCTCTTCCAGGTTAAAGCCATTCCTTCTTGTCCTATCAGTCCCTGTCCCTTGTGACAAGCTCTGTTGTAGCCCCTTTAGATACTGAAAGCTGGCAATAAAGTTTTCCCAGAGCCTTCTCTTCCCCAAGTTCAACAACCCCAATTCTCTCAGTCTGTCTGAACAAGAAAGGTGTTCCAGCAATCTTCCCAGGCCTCCTCTGGACTTGCTCCAAGACATCCATGTCCTTTTTATCTTGGGGCCTCTCAAAGGAGCCAGGAGAACCACAAGGGAAAGCTCTCCTGCTGTACATCCTGCACCCATGGCCAAGTCTGCCAGCACATTAAGCACATCTTCAAAATCCCAAATCATTATCAGGTAGAATAGATTAGTCTGCAATCACTGGTGTGGGGTGGATGCAGACAGAAGATGGACCAAGGCAGAACCCTTGTGGTGGACAGACAAGTGCAGCTGTGGGTCTGGCAGCTGCCAGCACTGGTGAGGCAGCCCCAGAACACAGCCAGGCAGCCTGGGGGAAGTCGGGGTAGCAATACTGGGGTTTGTGGCTTTTCTAATTTTTTTAACTGTTTTTAAAAGATAAAGAGCAAATAAAGCTCCATGAGAATCTCTTTTGCACAGCTACTAATTGCCTCACTGCTGCAGTTTGGAGGCATTAACACCCATGCAACATTTCCCAGCTACAAGACTAATCCTACCAACAGTCTGGTGGGGCAAATCCAGGTAATCTCTGTTCTACAGACTCAAGGAAAGTTTAAAAGGAAATCATGAGGAAATTTTAAAAATGCCTCTTTCATCTGGAAAATATGGCTTTATTCCTGTTATTATTTAATGTCCTTCAATTACTATGCATCTAAGAGTTGAAGTGGAAGAACAGAGGAACTGTCAAGAGTTTGGGCTTTGTTTAATGATCTGTGTAGTCAGAAAATTTCCTTCTCAAATATAAATATGTATGTGCATATATTTTGTAAATAACACACAATAATATGCTGAGTTGTACAATTTCTGACTTCCATGGTTGGTATGGGTCACTTCTACACTACTCTGACCCTTGTGCTGAGAGAGACTTGTGAGCTTGGACCACCTTCACATCCATCTGTCCTCACCACAGGAGGAGCAGCTCCAGCCCAGCTCGACTTACATGGGGGCTGCCAGTGAGGGTAAGAGGGGACCCAGCGCCAAAATCTGGTCCAAATCTGGTCTAAATGTCACACTTACAACCAAGCAGCTCAACTGCAGGTGGCACTGGGCATGTGGCAGGCACCTAGGGGCCTGGATTTGGGATTTGGTACCACCTTCTACAGTGATCTGGTAGCTACAGGCTACCTTCAAAGTGCTGAGCCCTCTGAATTGCTTTCAAAGTGTCACAGACAGCTTCCCAGTTTCAAAGGAAACTTCTGGTGATGAAAGTATTTGCACATTTTCCTCAGAGAGCATTCAAAATGCATGACTCAGGTGCCAAGCAGTTCTGCTGCTGCCTTAAAAATCAGTGCAGCTGCCCCAACTTCCTCAGCACACATGTTGGGTGGGGATGCCCCTTTGTTCACTGGCTGAAAGCAAATTTTTAAGCCATATATTACATTTTTCCTACCAACATAATGAATTTAAACTAATATTTTCTTTTATATACGCTAATAACATGGCCCCAAGATCTGAGCTTTCTTCCAAAGAAAAGGCAAAAACCCTCCAACATTATAAGACAAGATAAAAGTTTTCATAACATGACAGTTTATGAACAATGTGCTACAGAGAAGATTGCCAGGAAACTCTGAACCTAAATTTACTTATCACAACTTCAATCCATCAACTTCAACATCTGAGTTTAGAACAGCAGGCTCTAATCTCCTATTTTTTATACTTTCTGACCTCCAAGAACAACGCATCCACCCCTTAGAACAAAACAAGAAAATGATAAATAAATGCTGTGCTTCGTTACAGCATATAATTCTTGCCATGTTTCCTTACATATAGGTTACTAAATTTAGTGAGAACATCACAGCTTTTGTGTCATGGTAAAACAATGGAAAACTTGCAGGTGAACAAACTCAGGGAAAGAAAATATAAACAGAAAGGAATGTATTACATAACAGCAGGTGCCACCCTGCAAAAACACTCTCACAGTCCCTGAGCATAAGGGAAGGCAGAGGAGGAGACAGGAGGTGAGAGACAGGAGGGGTGAAAGGGAGAAAAGGGAGGGAGGGAGGAATTTCTAACAAAATGTTCACAGCATGAAGTGTTATTAATGCCCAGATCCTCCCTGAAAGTAGAAGATTCCAATTCAACTTTAAGTCACCAAAAGTACAGAACAGCTGCAGGGGTACAGGCAGGAGGAGAATTTGGGCCATTATTTGCTACCTGATTAAAATAATGGACAGTTTGTGTATATTTAAGCAAATGAGAAGCAGGGAGCAGTCCAGACAACATCCCCCTTGTTTCCATGAACAAAGAAACAGCCAGGTACATTTTCAGGGGCTTTCTCTGGAGCAGCCCTGCCCCGTGCAGCAAGAGGAGCCACTGCAGGGATGGTGGCACTGACCTTCTCTCCCCTGCTCCTCCCCACCTGCACAGGTGGTAGCACTAAATCCACTATACACAAACAGTTTTATTCAGAGCAAGCAGGAATATTTCCTTCTAAAGGTCACATACTACCAGGCTGAAAGTGTTCAAACTATATATTCTCCAAATAAACCATGAAGCAGCCTGGCAGCTATGAGAAGAGCTGTAAGCAAGGGAAACCACCCCATTCTTTGGTGCCAAATGTCCCTTTGTCTCCAATACTGGTCATTAATCTCTGAAATGAGTCCTCAGTGTCCTGGTAGGAGGGATACTAATGCTGCATGACTGTTTGGGTGAACAGCACTTATGCACATCTACAGCAACATGGGTTAAGGGGGAGGGAGGGCACACTCAGTTTGGTGGCCAGGCAAGGGCTCTGCCTGCTTTTAGGGCAGCACATCCTCCCATGATAGGGGAGCCACAGCTGTGTAATAAAAAGCTCCAGTGCATCTCAGAGCCTCAGGTACAGCTCAGCAGAACTGCCACATTGTCTGAAATCAGCTCCTGAGAGTGCACCCAGTCATTCCCCCCCAACCCAAAAAGAGGTTTGAGCAATCTCAGGTTTCCTCATACCTCCTTTTTATGCACAAATACAGCAAAAAGTCACAAATTACTGAGTTGGCAAAGCACACAAGAGTGAAACATGGCCATGAGCAATCTTTTCTTAAAGACTGGCTGAAATCTCAGAATTGCTTTGAAGATGAGCCTAAAAATGAACAGCGAAAAGGGAGCTGCCTTCAGGATGCACCTGGGAATTATTTACTGAAGAAATGACACCATCTCAGAAAAGCTTACCCAAAGCAACATGTACATAAGGAATCAGCTGCAATGAGGAGGTAAGGCCACATCATGCCTGGGGTTTACCCAAAACCACCTTTCAGTGGAGTCAGGGCACTTTCTCCATCTCTTACACATTAGAGCAAAGACTTTCAGAAAGTAAAAACTTCCAATACAGAATGCAGTTATGGGGGACATCAAAATATTTCACACAACCTGCTTGAAGATTGAAAAAGTCTAGAAATCTTAGAAGATTTATTTTTACCATCTGAAAAAAAATTGCTTTGATTTTGTATTCTGAAGTGGTATATTCCCTTTGAACTTGATCTGAATAAAAAAAAAAAGAAAAAAAGAATGAAAACACTAAAACATGGTTAGACAGCCCTGAAAATTAATGAACAGCTTTTGTTTGGGATGGGGAGACTTTCAGCTGTTCTGAAAGTCTGTTTTTTCATTTTGCTGAAAAAGAAACAAACTTCCTCTGAAAGAATCTGTTCCAGGTCGAGCTGAATTTTTAATGCACTGGTGAGAGCACGACTCGAGTGCTGTGTCCAGTTCTGGGCCCCTCACTTCAAGAAAGACACTGAGGTGCTGGAGCAAGTCCAGAGAAGACAACAAAGCTGGTGAAGGGTCTGGAGCACAGGTCCTATGAGGTGACTGAGGCTGAGGGAGCTGGGGCTGTTCAGCCTGGAGAAAAGGCTCAGGAGCGTCCTTGTCACTCTCTACAACCCCCTGAAAGGAGGTTGTGGCCATGTGGGGGTCAGTCTCTTCTCCCAGGGAACTGGCAACAGGACGAGAGGACACAGTCTAAAACTGTGGTTGGGGAGACTTAAGTTGGACATTAGAAGAAATTTCTTCATAGAAAAGGTAATTAGACATTGGAATGGGCTGCCCAGGGAGGTGGTGGAGCGACCATCCCTGAAGGTGTTTAAGGAAAGACTGGATGTAGCACCTGGTTCCCTGGTCTGGTTGACCATGTGGTGTTCAGTCACAGCTTGGACTTGATAATCTCAGAGGTCCTTTCCAACCTAATTGATTCTGTAAATCGAGGAAGCACTGCTTCCTTTTTTTTTTTTTCTGTTTCACTACAAGAAGGAACATTACATATTCAACCTTCTGTACTGAGTCCCAAGCTTTTTCTTCTTTTTATTATTTTCTTTTCCTAAGAGAGAATGCATTCAAACCTCATGCTTAAATCAGTGAGTTCTGAGTGCAGAATGCAGAGTGGCTTTTCTCATGGTGTCCATGAGTAACCTCATCCTCTCATTACTGAGCTCAGTCTGGGGAATGTCCACTCCTTTGAAAACTGCCAGTTGTTAGATCAGCCCATCTCCCTGGTGAAACCTCAAGCCAGGGCAAGGGCAAGGACCTGAGCTTGCCATCCTCCCCTCTCAAGGCTCCAGCAAAGTCCAGACAAAACACATGGGGACCAGATGGAAAAGTGTCTGGAAGCTGCAAGAAAAACCACAAGCAATGGGAAATCAAAGTCATGGCCAAGGGGAAGGTGAAAAGATACAGCACCTGCAGTACTTGAGTCATTGCAAAAAGGAGGGCCTCATCATAAAACAATGATATCATTTACACACCAATTAAAGATGACAGAGTTCAGTGGCATTTATTTTTCAACACTAAATACAACACCCAGTGGAGTGAGAAGTGATAAATCCAATACAGCCTCATCTCCACAGCACTTGACATCCCCGCCAAAACCCAAATGTCCCCACTGCAACAGTGGGTGCCTGCTGGAGAGGCACCCTCAGGGTGCCAGAGAAGCCCTGATAGCCCAGAATTCAACAAGGGTTTTGCTTCTGCAAGACATTAAGCTGCAGGCTGTTGTGTGTTCAAAGAAAGGCACAGGGGACTATTTTTCCGGAAAAGGGGGAAAACAAGTGCAATGAAACTGCGATTTCACTGGGGTTGTTGCAGCAGAACCTGCACTTTAGCACCTCGTTAGCACAGCCATGAGTAAATCAAACAACTGATGTCTTGTTTCAAGAGAACATAAAAGGGGCTTTTGTTAGGCAAAACAACAGGACACATCTTTTTCCCTTCCATGATTTGTGAACAAGGCATCAGTTTGCTTTCCTGATCAGGCTTCAAGAGGTAGCTGGACCACCCTGCTCAAGGACACACTTGGGGCTGTTCCTTCCCAGTGACCCACAGCCACCCATGAGCTTTCCAAATCTGTTTTACACTGTCAGCCACAACAGAGAATGTTCTCATACACATGGAATTAATAATTTCCCATTTAATCCTGCTAAGTATTTATGTATCTTATGGTAAGGAGAGACCCGGGGGAATGACACACTTCACAATTAGTTTGATTATCCGCCTTAACGAATGGCAAAAAGCCCATCTGAAGCAGAAACAGAGGGGTTATGAAGCCTGGTCTTTGGAAGAGAAGGGAGAAGATGACAGTATTGACATTTGGAAATCCTGGATCTACCATCTAACTGTGTCAGGGGCTTCTGTAGCTCAGAGCAAGTGAACGTGCACTCCAAGCACTGTGAGCCAAACAGCAGCACAAACACCCACTTCCTTCCACCTCCGCCTCATCAGCTGAGACAGCAAATGCTTTGGGCAGAAAACATCTCTTTCTATGTGCCTGGCATCCCTGGAAGCCTGACACCACCACCATCACCCAAAGCCCAGGCTGTATCCACACCCCTCACTTACCAGCCACCACCTGTAGCTGTCTTCTGGGATCAAGGCATTTTGTGAGGTCAGGAAAGGTTGCATAGTTGAGTTAAATCTCTGATCGAACCAGAGGGAATGTCCCAGCTCTGAAATGCACGTGTGACAGCTGCAAGGTCTCCTGGGGTACCTGAAGAGTTTTTGGACGTGCTCTGAAAACTGCACGACGAGATGTCTGGGGTCCCAGGTGGTCGTGGTCACCTGGTGCGTGTAGTTCAGCAGAAACGACGTCACCGTGATGAGCAAAAAGGCAAAGGTGAACATTTTCACATTCCTCCTCCTTACCACAACCATCTTTGCCCCTTGGGCTCTGCCCCACCGCCGGCCAAAAACGCAGGCTCCAACGTAAGGCAGAAAGGAGAGGCTGCAGCAGGCAGTCAGCACTGGCTGAACAGACTGACCCCACTACTGCCAGCCGTAAGGGAGAAGCTTCATCTTCCCCAAACAGGCCTGAAAAAGGACAAGCTGGGTATTTCCTTTCACCTTCTCACAGTGCTTCAAAGTTCCTTCCACCTCTCTGTCCTGTTGATAACCTCTCCTGATGAGGGTTTGCTGAAGACAGACCCTTGTCTTTCTGAGTACAGAAATTAAAATTCAGGTTTTGTGTGTGAGACCAAGCCATATATTAAAAGAAGCAAACTGTAGAAATTGTATTCTTTGTCTTGGAATTTAGTTCCTGAAGGATGGGATCATATAGGGTTGTACATTCCATCAGAGGGACATGCTCTGATATCTGCTTAAGCCATGGAGAGAAGTTTGCAACCTAGAGACACACAGACAAAAAAAAGAAATAAAAATAGTCAGGTTTTTTGTTTGTTTGTTTGTTTTTTCCATTCCTCCCTAAGTTCTCTGCTTTTCCCTTCCCCATCCAGAACTTCTGAATGCCCTGGAAACAGCAGTCCTGGCTTAAGCTCTGTTCTGGTATTTGCAGACTGAGGCATGTGAGGGTGAAATTTTGGAATGGGCAGAGCATCGACCTGTGGACACTGAGTCTCTTTGTATTGAATCAGCCTCCTGTCTCTGCTCTGGCCTTATTTGAATTACAGTTTGTTGCTATTTGAATGACAATGACTCACCTCCCTCCTTCAGGCTGACCTTGATAGCCACAAGAGCAAAGTATTCATAACTCAGAGCAGCTGAACAGCAAGCACCCAGCAAAGGAGTGAGGAGCAGCACAGGGAGGAAGATGAATCAGTTCTTTCCTCTTTCTTTCCCCAGCCAGCTTAATTTCTTAAGGACTGGGATTGGATTTGTGATTAGAGAAAGCCAAGCAAAAACAGCTCATATGTCCTGGGACAAACAGGGGAAATCAGAGTATAAATGGCCTTTGTTTGACATGGAAAATTGCTCTTTTTTCTGTCAAGAAAAGGTAGGTGATAGCTGCTTGACCCCAGCCTAGGCAGAGAGGCACAGAGCTGCTTTGGAGGTACAGAGGGACCCAGAGCTTCTCTCCCTTCCCCTCCTGGTGTTCCCTGCCTGGCAGCAGTGATTTAAACAAGTTTTTAAAAGTCATAAAATGAATCCCTTCATCCCACAGTGTTTTGTGGGAATGCCATTGTGGGACAGGCTTTGTTTTGTGTGAAGAAAAACATGTTGTTTATAAAACTTCAGATGTTTACCAAAAGTCCCAAAAGTGCCATTGCTTAAATAACACTCTTTGTTTTGTTGTTCTTTGGGTTTTTTTTTTTCCCAAAAAGGTAGGAAAAATATCAGAGAAGCAACCACGTCAGAATATGTGCAATTTATGAACAAGTGAAAACCCAGCGAGAGAAGCCTCATTCACCGTTCAGCTGAAGGCTTCAGACCAGCAAAGAGCCAGCAAAACTGCAATTGTTACCATGAAACCTCATCATTTTAACCCATTCTGTGCATGGCATGGATGCAGGACCCCCCCATCTCCCAAATGTGCTGTTTATCCAGACAGGAGGGAAGTGCAGCTGCAGCATCCCCAGCTTTCCTGCTGGCTCCTCTCCTGGGGATCTGCGAGGAGCTGCCCCAGGACAAACCGCTTTTCCAAGGGGTTTGACACAGCACCTTGGAAACAGCTTGGATTTTAAAGGTGGTGTGTAAATATTTACAGAGTCCCATACAGCCAGTTCCAAAAACAGGAGACTCAGGCCTCGGTTTTAAGCCTTTGCCCCAGGTTTCTCCTCCTCAGCACATGATGGGCAGCATGTGCCCTTCAATTAGCTGCTGTTTGCCAAATGCCTCGAGATTTATTTTAAGTCTGGCCCCTCCACATGCATTTATAGCAGCTCAAGGGCTGACAAGTGGGTCAGGCTGGATAACAAAGGACTTTATTAACCACATCTGCTTGGGCTCCTTGCACCAGTAAATCAGGGAACCATCCTGCATTCACTTTTAATGTTGCAGAGGGAAGTTTTCACACTAAGCAGAAATCTTCTGAAGTATTCCCGGGTAAAATTCAGGAATCCCAGCCTTAGAGACGCGATGGGGATGCTGCCACTGTGCCTTGGGGGTCCAGAAAGGGAGCTCAGGAGAACAGCCCCAGCACACAGCCCCATCCGCGCCAGCTGCGCCCTGCACTGCACAACAGCCCCAAACACATTTGCTTTCCTAGCCTGGATGTGAGTTTAAACAAAAATACAGCCTCTAACAACCCTGAAAACATGCTGAATCCCAGAAGCAAATTGATTTTCCATTTATGGAGTGGATAATTCAGGAGCTGTAATGCTGGCAGGTCAACCCCCCACTGCTGTCAGTGCTGGGCCAAATCAGTATTTGTAAACACAGCTCCTGCTCTTCTGTTACATTTTTAAGAGAAGGGAGAGGGATTATCCAGCCTTTCTTGGAAAAGCCTATAAAATGGAGTATTGTTGATAAAACTGTTCTGCCCTCCAAAACAAGCACCCATTTCACCAGATTTATTTATTTATTGTAACTCAGCTAAGGTTAAATTTGTATTTATAACTCAGGGAGGAAAAAACCAAAACCCAAACCAGTGTTTACACAGTGGGATAAAATGTCTTCACATTCCTAATCATCCTGTCTTTTTTAGCATGTGATGGAAAGGTGAAAAACCGGATTTCATAAGGCCCTTTTCCCTTGTGGATATGAAGACAGGATACTCTATTTTAATTCTTACTGTTTACAGTTTCCTCTGAATGCTCATGCTTCCTATATGGCCTGAGGAAAAGGACGACTGAAATGAATGCAAAATTTAATTTTTTTTTTCAGTTCAGTGTGACTTGGAGTTTTTTGGGGTTTTTTCTGGTTTTGTTTTCTTTCTTAGAACACCTGGCAGATCCAACCCAGACATCACTACTTTTATTCTTCACAGCATCTTGTACCACATCTCAGATTATCCCTGTGTCTGTCTCGCCCCCTCTGCTCACACAAGATGCATAAATATTTGCAAAAGTGTTTCCATAGGATTCACCAAGGTGCTGGGAAGTGGAAGGTCAGGGATTGCTGTAGGAAACCATGCAGGGATGTCAACCCCAGGTGTTGGGAATGTTTCACTTCTGGACACTACTTGTGATAATTAAATTAAGCCATTACAAGTAAGAAGCATGATAGCAGCCACAGCCCTTATCACCATCCCTGGCATGACCTCGGCATTAGCACCTCTGTGAACAGGCTATTTTGGCCTCAGACCCAGAAACAACTTCTGGGGACTTAAGGTAGGGAGATTTAGTGCCCAGCCCTCTACCAGCTACAGTCCCCTGAGAGATAAGCAGAGCTTAACAGTGCCTGCCTGCAGCTGTGCCTGTGTGCAGAGATCCCAGCTCAGCCCCTGCAGGCAGCAGGTTAAGCTACCTTAAGTGATTGGGTGCTTAAGGTCTTATTTCTGGTCCGGATTTTGTCTGCTACCTTCCCACTCCCCCCTCCTTCAACCGATGTCATTGTCCCCATGTAAGGCACCTTTGTGCTCCCTGGGACAGTTTATTTATGCTGGTAATACCCAGCGATGTGCAGTTCAGGGAAAATGCAAAGGGTCATGTCCCAGGAGGACCAGGGAGGCAGGTTCAGAAGAGACAAGTTCCTCCAAACTCTGTCCTGAGTGGGTCAAGGGTGATCAAATGGTCATAATGAGAGTCGAGCTTAATCTTCTGTCTACATTTTACCTTGTGAAAGATACCAGGATCAATCAATTGTGATTGCCGTCATTGTCTGTTCGTTTTAGAAAGAAGGAACAAGGAGAGAGGTGGGTTTTTTGTTTGTTTTAGGTTTTGTTTTTTTTTTTTCTTCTCCTCCAAGGTAGATTTTATTTGCATTGTAAACTCACGATCTGAAGAATATCCCTGGTCCCTTGCCAATCTGGTAATTAACAAAGATAAAAACACATTGGTACAATGGACTAATATAAAGCAATCCTTAAGACCTTAAGGAAATATTTTTTTTACAAATCCACTTACAAATGCAATGTATTCTCACTGCACTCACCAGGTTCTCTGACAAAAGCTCATCTGCACACCCAGAAAAGAGCACAGAAAGAAAAGAGGAACCTAAATAAGGCCCTGCTGGAGCTGCTCCCAGGCCCACCCCAGGAGCCATCAGCTGCACCAGCCCAAAGGAGCCGGGGGCAGAAGGGCAGGAAGGACCCTGAGACAAGACCTCAAAGAAGGGACACCCTGCCTGCATCCCTCCAGGGCTGGCCCTGCACAGCCTCAGCCTCAGGCATGAAACCCACCCAGGTGAGCCAGCTCTGCCTTTGGGACTGAGATATGTTGCTACCTTGGACATGGGACAGCTTATGGGGTGCAGGGGAAGGGCATTTGGGCATTACAGAAGATCTTTGTGGTCAGCCACACAACATTAGCACAATGGTTAATTTTTTTGATTTCTTTTAATGGATGGGCCTTAGACAAAATGTGTGAAGAAAATAATAGTGAAAAAGCATCGAAAAAGAAATCACCATATTCATCCCCCAACACTGTAAATGTCCCAGTACATTGGTGTTTGGCCCTTTCCTGATGCCTGCTTTCCTAACAAAGAGGTGCTTTGTACCAGCACCACATTGAGGAGATCTCTGTTAGCTTGTGTTAGATTCTTCAGGATCCAGCTTTTCTGGTCTGTAATTCACTCTAAAACCCGGGTGTGAAACCCACTCTCTAGTTTGAAACTGGCAGCATTTTCCAGACACAGCATTCCAGGCAGAAGAGCACAAAGGCAACAAGGAACAGCAGCATCCTGGCACAGAGACATTGCCACTGTTCCATGCAGGGCTTGAACAGCTCAAAGGTCCCAAAATCCTTTAGACTCCAAACTCACACATCCACCTGCCCTGTCGGAATCTGGGAAAGGACAGTGTGACCTGTGCAGCTCTTTCCTGACTGATGGTGGCCATCACACAACCCTTGGACATCCCACAGAATTTTACAGCTGGAAACTCTACACTTGAAGGAGTAGGTTCAAGATTTGCTGCAATTTTGACTTCAAGAGAATGTGCTGCGCTAGAAAGGCCTCAGCAATAGAACTGAAAATGCCCATTTTCAGAAGCACAGCTCAGATTCCTGCCCTGTAAAACCTACAGAGATTAAGTAGTTTCTCAGCTAAGCCACTGACAGCTATATTGTTATATATTTGGCAACACTGACAGTATGTCCCTAAGCATCCTTTCTGCCATTTGAGGACTTTTTTCCTGTCCACACTTCTTGGGAGTAACTATTCAAGCAACCCTTGGTCTCAAAGCCCTGGCCTGGGAGGTTAAATCTTGCCTTACTGTACCCACAAGGGCCCAAAGCAGCCGTGAAAGATCTCGTTCTAGGGAAACAAAAAGCACATCCCTGGAAAAACACA